AATTCTTCTACCAACATTTTGATATAAGGAAAATGAGAACGCCAAGCCTAAGGTTTAGTCAGAGTTTTCAAATCCCCTATTTAAGTCTGTTGCTCTTTCTTCTACTTCAAGCTCCATTTTCAAAATGCAGAGAAACTTTAGAGTGAGGAAAACAAGACTTTGGGAACTTTTCTGTTTGTCATAGAGGATATGAAATTTCATTGTTAGATTAGGGAGGACAACACACGTGAGAGCATTCTCCTGATAAACCAAACCCAACCTATTGCCACAAGTCGATTGTGACTCATGATGCCCTAGATGACAGAGTAGAACTGCCTCATAAGGTTTCCAGGGCTGTAAATCTTTACGGAAGCAGATTGCCACATCTTTCTCCTAGGGATGAGCAGGTGAGTTCGAATTGCTGACCTTTTAGTTAGCAGTCGAATGTGTTAACTGCTATGCCATCAGAGCTCCTTGTTCTCCTGATCGACAACATTAAATGTTTGACAAATGATCCATGTTGAAAGACATCGTACAATCTGGCATCTCTGGGACTGTAGAGAAAAGAGCCCCTTCCACATGGTTGCATGAAAATAAGTGGACAAATCCAATACCCCCAATGTTCCCTGATCTTAAAGGTTTCTTTTCTAACTGTGCTTAGCAAATTTTCTAGATGATTTAATAAGAGGGATTTTATTAATAATAAGTAATTACTGTTTTCTGGCCATTCTCTTTTACACAGAATTAGATCAGTTTTAAAACTGATGATTTTATATTGATGATTTGTCTTAGATGTGTGCTTATGCTGGTTTTATTTGTGTGTTATTGTATATGTGTCTTTTGTTGTTAAATTAACTTAAGAATTTCTGATGCTTTCAAAAATCTATAGAGATCAAGTTATATCTTTTAAATGAATTATATAATTTTTTTCTTTTGGTTTTTCATCTCATTTTCATCTCGTAGTTTTTTCATTCTAAGGGAAGATGTGGTATTTTGTAACATTGCTTTGGAAAATGTACAAAATTAGTGTAAGAAATATATAATTAATGTGGTAGCTGTGTTCTTGTGTCTCTTTCGAAAAATCTGTAATATGATGAGACATAAATTCATCTTGATTTCAGGTTCAGTTACAGGCAGGAACTTATTTAGTACTTGATAAAAATGTTATCTGTTATGGATCTCTTAAATAGCTTTATTTTAAGATCTCACTTAAGGTACTTATAAAATGCTTCCCATTAATTGCCATTTTGTAAAAGCTAGAGAACTTTTTAAAGTCCATATTTGTAAAGTAATTAATATTGTTTCTACAAATGAAAAAAAAAAGTCTAACAAAAAGAGAGAACCATAGTACACAAGATAGTATCAATATATAAAAATTGGGAGTGGGGGCTATTTTCCATCACCAATAAGAATGCCTCAGAATAGCACATTTATTATATAACATTGCTAAGAAAACTTTCACAGTTTGCATATTTTGAGAAATAATGATAAAATTATTAGCTACTAAAAACTGGACAATAGTAAGCTAGATTTAGCAAAGAGCCACCAAAAAGCAGGTTCAGCATGTTTTGAAAAATAACACTTTCCCACTTCAGGCCCACGTACTGACCTGACCTCATGTAGGGACATGACACAGTGGCTTCAAAAACAAGCATATTAGCATCAGACAGACTTAAGTTCAGATCTCAGCTTTGTCCCTTGGACAGATAACTTAGCCTTTTTGTATTAAGATTTTCTCAATTTTAAAATAGGGTGATATAGTACCTATTTAGAGCTATTGTGCAGATTAAAGTGTATGTTAGTACAATGTCCAGTCCATAATAAACAACTAATAAATGTCACCCTTTATTATTATTATAATAATTATTAAAACTATATACAACTCTTATTTTGTGTATGGGAGCTGAGTGCTTGTGGGCAGTTCTCCCAGCCTCAAGAAATAGTGAGCATATTCCCCTATCAGGACCACAATAGAATCCATTTTATGTAACCTGAAAGTTTGGTTGGGTGCATTCTACAGTCTATGAAGAAGCAAAATAGAATTTCCATGGAAACTTTGTGTTCTCCTGCACAATTTGAGTGGAATGAATAGCAGGCCCTTGTGCTGCACCCTGTCCCATGTGGGAGGGTAAAAAGGAGAAACTCCAAACTCCAGTTTTTAACTGCTTCCCGGCGCCACTGTAATGATGGAGTAGAACACCCTACCTTGATAAAAGCTGTTCAGAAAGCAACTGCCTTTATTTTACCTCCTGTGCTATTTGCGGAGAAGAGCCAAAGAGTAGTTTATTTTGCCTGGAATGAACTACTTTATGAATTTTAATGTGTGATATAATATTAAAAGCTAAACCAGGATTAAAGAAGATTTTTTTTCTTTTTTGTACTAGGCTAAAATAGTACTTTGAATAGTGAGGTATAAAAGATTTTTGTTTCCATTTTTACCTGGGGAAAAATTCAGCTTTCATAGTTTTGAAAAACTGTCCCAGTCAGTTCCCCTTAAGCAATAGCCTGTGTTTAGGAAAAAAATGTGGTTCCAGAATTCTAATAGCTTGTCTATGATAAGATGCTTACCTGGGCCAGCAAGATAGCAATGAAGAGCTTTTCTAAGTAGTTTTTAAATGAGTAATAGAGATATTTTCTTTATATGTTATAAAGGTTCTCACATTTTTAAAAATGTCACATGTATACTTGGCTTTCCCTTTTTTATCATATTGGCTACTAGGAAAGGATTATTTTATTATTATTTTTCAATGATTTTAAATTCTTACTTTTTGGTTAAATTTCTAATTGTTCATTTAAAATAATGTTTTAAAAAAACTATAAACCAAAGAAAGTTTTAGAAACAGACTCAAAGGGTTGAAACAAATGATGATAACCCACCTCGAAGATAAATTCTTAAGTATAATTTTTACAAAAGAATGAAAACTATTTTAAAAACATACAAAAATACAAATTTTTCAAAGCCAACCATCTTAAATATTGCTCAGCAGGTTGCTACCAAGGAACTATTTCTTCCAGTGCACTGGACTTCATGCCCCCATTTCCCTAACATTCAATTTTCAAAGCGATTGAAATGGCTTTTCTTTTCTCTTTTCATTTAAGCAGTGAGAAAGATAGGTATTAAAAGGGACCTCCTGGGGTGATCAAATCTATCCCTCTGCCTCAAAGCAAGACCACCCCAGAGCAAACTTGGGAATCTCACGGAAGCAACTTTGTAGGTAATTTATGGTAATGCATTAACTCTTCTGGCTCCTAAAGTGGTGTTTAGCAGATTACTGTTTCAAAACCCTTTGTACGTTCTTAGTGGCCTCTAGTCCTTAATATACCTCTCTTTGAGGACCCTCACCAAGCAGAGTCCCAGAGCTAGAAGGGGAACTCTGGAATCTCTGGCTTCATCTCCTGTTACTCCCGTTTCCACTTTATAGTTTAGGAGAGGCAAATGAGGCCCAGAAAAATTTTGTCGGTATCCGGCTTCTCCTTCCCTATCATCACTTGAGGCCTGTGCTTTGTCCGTTTCACGATGTTGGCCATTTAGTGTTTCGAAAGGTAGTGTCATATTGGAAAAATATAGCTGCCTTAAGATAAGCAAGAGGTAGATTGTTTCACTAACTGACGAGATTTAGAAGGAATCAAGAGGTTATGTTTTAGAAGGGACTCATTTACTCTTTGGGTACAGAGAAATGCATCACATAGCATATACCCTGTGTCGCTCTTTTCATACCAAATTTCACAGGGCAGAGTGAAGTGAACCTGGAGAGCCTGCAGTATTATTAGGGGTTGTATGTCATTTAGTGCCAGTGGTTGGTTGTTTATCCTGAAACACAGTTCCTTTCCTATTGTGTTCATATTAGATGTGAGAAATTGTCCAAGAAGGTAAGTTTCTAGAGGACAGAAACCTGAGTTCTATAAAAGACCCTAAGAAGTGAGGTCTGCTGATGAATCATTTTACTGGAAGAAGTATGGTCTTACATCCAGTAATATTTTTTTCTTTTCATTGGTTTCCCAGTAAGTAAGCAGCTACATAGGTCTTAGGGAAATTTTCCAGGCTAGGTTCTATAACTGCATAATAAAAATTAAGTCTTTTAAAGATTAATAATAATATCAGTAAATTTTGAGGTTGTGATTTGATTTCCCTTCCCCGCCTAAAATTTTAGGGTATTTTCTCGCTGATAATCTGTTTGCCATTATTATTAAAGTCTTTGATATGGATACAGATTTTTCACTCAGCCTTACACATTTTGAATATATTTGTAAAATCACTGGTTATTTATTTTGTGTAACTTGTAATAATGGCCTATAAAATATTGTGAAATATTTCCTTATTGTCTTGTTCCACAAGTCCAAAGGAAATAGTTATGTACAGAGGTGCCAGGAGAAGATGAAATAATTATACAGAACAGCTTGGACATGCACATGTAAAATGCAACCAGCCTTTATGTTAATTAAGCAAGCCACTCTACCTGTTTCATGGATGGATAGAAGATTTAAATATGCAGCTCTGCAAATGGCTTTGTTATGGAAGATTTTAAAAATGAAACGTAAGAGGAAAAGGCATAAAAAAGAGTATAAAATTAAAAAGGCCATAGTACGTAATAGCTATTAGTGATGCAATTGTCTGTATTAGGCACAGGGCACCCAACAAAGATACAGCACTGTGCATTATGATTTTAATTGTGAATTTCCCTTGTTAGAATTGCAGTGGAAGGTAATTGAGAAACAATTAGTTTAGGCTTTTCAAGTCTTTGAAACTATTCTGTTTTCCACAAAACTTACTTTATTGCATTATAATTCCTGGTTGTCAGCTGGCAGTTGCTGTCATATTACAGATGCAATCACCTGTGACAATGTGACTTCCTTAACTTAAGCAATCTGATCTCGGGGTAATAACTAATGTTGAATGACTGCACTGTTGATCACCGTGATCATAAATGGAGCAACAATGTCCAGTTTGGATGCTGAGCTTGAAATGCTTCAAAACAATGTGGTTAATGAAAACTGACAGTCATGTTCAAAATGTTTTGTAGGTGAAAACAGCTACTATTGCCACTGAGAGGAATGGGAAGCCAGAGAACAATACCATGAACATTAATGCTTCCATTTATGATGAGATTCAGCAGGAAATGAAGCGCGCTAAAGTGTCCCAAGCACTGTTTGCAAAGGTTGCAGCAACCAAAAGCCAGGTAAGAGCCTCTATTAGGCATTGACAATGTTTATCTGCGATGCTGTGGAATTTTCATTAAAAGCGGTATCCATTTTCAATATGGACTTGCATCCCTGAGAGGTCACGGTCTTCAGGATTATTTACAGAGCCCTAAAATGAAACATGATGTTCATATTCAGATAAAAGACACTTGATTTTGTTCCTCCGACAGCCATTCTCTAGGTCAAAGATTTCTCAGTAAATCTTTATGTCAGTTAATGGTTGTTTTCACAAGAATATATAGTAATGTATAGGAAGTTTCTCACTGTGGCCTATTTCAGTGAAAAAGTAACTTAAATTACTACTGTTCCATTATTACTAGTTGTTGTTATGTGCCGTCAAGTCAGCCCTGACTCATAGCGACCCCTCCTTGGGTTTCTGAGGCAGTATCACTACAGAAGTAGGATTGCCTAACCTTCTTTCCGGGTAGCTCTGGTAGCATAGTGCCTAAGGCACTTGACTGCTAACCAGAAGGCTGGTGGTTCAAGCCCATCAGCCACTCCTCGGAAGGAAGATGGGGCAATCTACTTCCGTAGTGATACTGCCTCGGAAACCCAAGGAGGGGTCCCTATGAGTTGGGTCCGACTCAATGGCACATAACAACAACAACAACAACCTTCTTTCCGAGGAGTGGCTGGTGGGTTTGAACCACCAGCCTTCTTGTTAGCAGTCAAGTGCCTTAGGCACTATGCTACCAGAGTTCCATCCTGTAACACGATAAGCGTTACATAGTTTTTTCTATTCCAAATTGGGTCTCTACAACTATTATGTACACTTCAAATCAACTGGCACATATACACACACACATATCTTTGCATGTTAATGATTTTACCTTTTCTAAAATATAAAAGGCACATAAATTATATTACAATTGGAAAAATTAGCCAAATCTGATGAATTCTAAGGAGTAGAATCCAATTGGAAAAGTTAAATATTCCCTACAGAGCAAGAAAAAAACTTAACAAAGACCAAATAATAGGATCTTTTATCAACACTGTCATATATTGATAACTTATGTTGATCAAAAGTACAATCATCTATATGAACATACTCACAATTATCTATAAACTCTTCTCCAAGGTCATGAATATTTTTCCAAAGTCCAGAAGAATACTAAACTCGCTCAAAAACATTTGCTAATGCTCTCAAAGTAAGGTGTAGCGACAGTTACACCCTTAAGGTGAGATTTTAACAACTTGAAATGTTCAACATATTGTCTTTAAAGAACATTTCTATATAATATAGGGTGTTACCAACTTCTGGTAAATAAATAATCCAGTGAGTTTTAGTGAATATTTACCATATGATCTTATAATACACTTTTTCAGTTTGTCCTAAAGTCTTACTCTATCAGTATCAGTAGTGACTCTTACTGGAAGTTTTGCTTTAGGAAAAGGTTGTTCTTGTTTTAAGTTATATGCTGGGTGAAATATTTAAGGGATATCTTGGAAATGTTATATAAAAATGATTAAACTCAAGCTGTGGACTGTAAAAATTATAGCTTTATAGGCCACATGCCTGTCTACCCTTCAATCACTGTCAAAGTGATAATTTCTACAATAATATGTTTCTTTTATTGTGAGATTCTAAACATCAAGTGCTGTTTAAACATTAAACTGAATTGTTTATGTTAGTGCTATACTCAGCGTGTCATACATCAGGCCACTGTAATCTCTCATGGAATGTAAAATTCTGTCATGAATCATGGCTTGTATATCGGAAATTACTGTAATTTTGATTGGAAATTACAGGGCTCTTGAAATGTTTCTAATTATGATAGAATGTTAGAGCCGCTTCAAACCTGTGTGCTTCTTCAGATGTCTTCATTTACATGCCAAGACTATGCATTAAGGAGAAATGTCCTGTTCTCACTTTACTCGTCACCCACCCGCCCCGCACAGTCTTGTTTTGGCTGTTTAGTCTAATTATGATGAGAATCTCATATTTAAATGTATATTATCTTGTCTTTCTTACTGATCCTAAATCTTTTTCTCTGACCTGTCTACAATTAAATTATCAAGAATAACAGACTATATTCCTACAAGGGCCAAATTCCCACATTTCCAAAATAGATAAGTAGAGAAGCTAGACATGCATTATTGTTATAAGGACCAGCCTTGAAACAAAACAAACAAAAGTTAATACTAAAACTTTCAGATAGCTATCATTTTGTTACTTATCATCTTTCATTTAATTCAGTCTAACCCTCCTTCCCAGTCTCCAGCTTCCTTTCTGACTATAGCACAGCTTCCTGTGATTAGCAGTCCCTTATACTTCATTTCTTTTAAAAAAAAAAAAAAAATGATTTGCCAAACTCTACCCTTGGGACTGAGCTGCTGATCTGGAGACTATTCAGACAGTTGTAGCAACTGGTAAATAATGTCATGTGAGTAATGTTTTGGGAAGTTTTTAAACATACTTCCACTCTGTCTCTGTCTTACACAGATGCCCATGAGTTTCTGTTTCAAAGAAGTCACTTGACAACTTCTGTGTTGCTGCTCTGCTAGTGTTTATTGCTGAGCCCCCAAAGCTTTGGCTCAGTTAATCCCGTTACTGATTGAGAGTGAATCCAAGGGGCCAGTTACAGCCTATGTTGTTGTTGTTATGTGCTGTCGAGTCAGACCCGACTCATAGCGACCCCTTCTTGGGTTTCCGAGGCAGTATCACTATGGAAGTAGATTGCCCCATCTTCCTTCCGAGGAGTGGCTGGTGGCTTTGAACCACCAGCCTTCTGGTTAGCAGTCATGTGCCTGAGGCACTACACTACCAGAGCTCCCAGTTATAGCCTATAGGGTCAAGCAAAGTGTTACAGTTATTCATAGCTAGTAGTTTAACTTCCTACCAGAACGTTTCTGTAGTTTTCCCCTCAGTTTAGATGTTAGTGCTCCCCTCTTTACTAACATATGTACAAAGATTAATTATTACTTTAGAAGTGAGACAGTCCAAAACTGTCCATATCACTAAGATGGTAAATTGGACTTAGCAAGGAAAGGTAGTTAATTATTTAAGTTCTGTTTTTCTGCCCTGCTGTTTTGTGAAGGAAACAGAAAAACTAATAAACAAACAAACAAAATATCTTTGACTCACACCAACCTTGCTCATGGTCACAATAGTTAATTTCCAAAATAGTTATTTATGTCTCAGCTATGTGTGCCAAGGATTGTCAAAATGAGGCAAAGTCCCCTAAGATGAAGTACGCATAAAGAGGTAAGCACCAACGTCACTTCTTTCTCAACCCATCTGCCTCCATCTGTTTCTGTGGCTCACCTTGATCTCTGGGTTGGCTTAATTCCAACCCAGAGATTCATCACCTTTTCTGTGCTATCCCCCATCTTACATTATACATATTATCTACATTTAATTCTCAGAGGAACGCTGTGAGCCAGCATTATTTTCCTCTATTTACACTTGAGGACCATATAATTACTAAATAAACAACCCCAAATTCTCTATATCTCTCCCATTAGTTTAGTATCTCCTCAGGGTTTCCAAAGAATGAGTTCAATACTGAAGTTATACTCTGCTCCAGAAAGAGGAATTAGGGATGTTGGACTGCGTGATCGTAGAAACAGTGAGAGCTCTCCTTTCTTCATTGACATATTCATGGGTCACAGATTCCTACCAAAATAGGGCCCTTGGAATTCAGGCTTTTTTGTGGCTGATTTGGGGATGGAGGAGGCAAAAGGAGGCCATGGTACAGGCTGTATCATTCACCCTTTACTAATGGGAAATTATTTATTCTTTTTGAGACAAAGATTCTTTTAACATGGGAAGAGGTCATATTCTATAATGTTTGCAAAAGGGTTTTAGTAAACTCTACAGCACTATACACGAATAAGGATCTCTGGTGGCACGGTAGTTAAACTTGTCAATTGTTAACGAAAAGGTCAGTGGTTCGAACCCACTGGGTGCTCTATGGGGGAAAGATGAGGCAGTCTGCTTCCATAAATATTTACAGCCTTGGAAATCCTATAGGGCAGTTCTGCACTGTCCTATAGGGTTGCTGTGAATGGGAATCAACTCTATTGCAGTAGGTTTGGTTTGGGGATTTTTATACACAAATGGCTAAGGTATTATAATGTGCTATCTAAAAGACTCAGCCAAACACACTGATAAGATTTACTTATCTGTTTATATATCTCAAATGCCTTTCATTTTAAAAGGTAAAGCTTTGGGTAGAAAATCTGAATGACAGGCAGCATAATTATTTTAAAGCATAATTATTTTAAAGTCCCAGATGTTTATGGAACCAGACACATCATAGTTGTACTATGCAATGACTAATGTACAAGGTATTTGCAGTAAAAGAAACCAACTTATGTAGATTCCACCATTTCACATGCATTAGATTCTCCTTCTTCTATGAGTAATAGAAATGAGATTGTTTTTAGCTCTAATAGAAATGTCTGGATAAAATATGCAAGTAAAAACTGAAGGTAGGCTACTTTTTGTGCTTGGGTAGGAAAGCAGGCTAATGCAAACTTTAAAAAGATGATATGCTTTAAACATAATGTGAATAGCTACAAATGAATACACATTATATTCTGGGTATTCAAATAAGCAGCAGTTTTTCCAAGTGCATCATATTGGAATTTTATCAAACTTTTAGTCTGATAACATTCAAATAATTATGAGAGCAGAATTTGCTAATTTTACTGTTTTTTAAAAAAATGGTTGATTTGGGTAATAACCATTATGGTATCAAGGTTCAGTTACTGTTCATTGGTTATAGTGTTTTCATATGGGAGATGGAAATGGAATTTTTCCTTAATGGTGGCAGATGTTAGAATCTAGTTTTATTCCACAGCAAACCCCTTGAGAGCTCTGAGACTTAAGGTGTATGTCCAGCAAGGGGACATTAGCAGCGCCATAGGCCTTGCCTTGTACATCGAGTTGTTACATTGATTTTCATGTTTGCAGAGGTGGGGTTTGCAGATACAGTAGTGCAGGAAGAGAGTAAAGGGCTTTTACAGAGTGGTC